TTTTTTTGGCAGTAACCATAATGGTGGTCGAGTAGGTCATGTTGTGCGGGGTGGAGTACCCTCACTCCGCACAAGGGGAATGATCGCACCACGGTGTGTTAAAATGGTCAAGCACCCTCGAGGCAGTTACACAGTGCTTACAAGTGTCTCTGGAAGTGAAAGCACCAGAAAATAAATTAATTCATACGCAGCTGTCATCCGTACGCAAGGAAGTAAGCACAAGATGCCGAACACCCTTAGCAGGATGCAGCGCACCCTTCATGCGACTCGCCGAATATCTCACGGCGCTTCGCGCTTGGTGATGTGAGAGCCTGGTCCGGTGAGAACCCGGCGTGCTCCGTCCCGGCTTTGTAGGGATGCGAGGTCAATGGTCTAACGACTACGGCATGCACGACTATGAGTACATGAATACAACCCCCTCCCCTCCCCGCGCATTCTCACACGCACTTTTCGTATCTCGTTTTCTCGTTGCGGATTGGCTTCACGGCAACACACAGAGCTTGGTGGCACCGCACATCGAGTCGTTCGATTTTTTTCTGGAGGATGGTCTCTCTGAGGCCGTCAAGGACATGCCTCCGCAGGTTATGCAGGTACAGCAGCATGTCGTTTCGTCTCTGTTTTTCGTTTCTACATGGCCGTTGGAGGAATGTAAAAATGAAAAGCAGCTCCTGGGTTGTGACCTCGGTTGATACGTTCACCGAAAGGTTAAGGTTTGTAGACTGGTGCTAAAATTAATGTGATTGGACGAACACACGCGCGCGTGCTGCCGACCACCCCGACCGCACCCACCGGGACCGAGTCGAGGGCAGCGTTGGGGGATCCGTGGAATCCGGAAAGGTTTGGAGAGCATGATGAGGTTGTCGGTACTTCTCCATCACCGATATTGATGCTGCTGCCGCTGTCCACATGCCCGTAGGCTTTGAACCAAGAAGTAGCAGAAGCTTCGAGTTATCCTCACGCCCGCTCTTTTTTATTTCGAAATTTATTTGGTGCCAACGATATCTACGCAACACGCTGTGACGCCGAACACCAGCTAGGGGAGGGCGGCCCTCTGCTGAAGCTGTGGATGGAAGGAGTCACGGTGGGGTATCCGGGCAAGAAGAATGAGGAGGCGACGAACGCGAAGCTCACACCCAGGGAGTGCCGTGAGAGAGGACTGACGTATCACGGAGCCCTCCTGGTTGACCTCTGCTATCAGGTAAGTGTGTTGTGGAAGTACTGCTGTTGCTGTTGTTCTTGTTCCCGCTGGTGCTGCTTTCGCGCTCTTTACCTCCTAGGCACGGCGAATAGTATGTACTGATGCCTTCCTTTTCGGACCCTGTGGGGGGAAAGGAACGCCCAATAGTGAGGACATCTCGAACGTTTGTTGCTGGAGGTTTTTGTACAGGTCATCAAGGCGAAATAAGTCTACGTATTTAGCTTCACTCAGCCCGTCTGTACCGTCTGCAGAATTATAATATTTGAATTTGACACGGGTGCTTGAGTATAGTGTATGTTTGGGCAGACCGCCTTCTTCTCCCTCTCGTCCCTTTTGCCTTTGCCCTCTTGTACCTCTATTGGCCGAACACGGGTTTTCTTGTGTTTGTTTCACGGCATTTCCCGTTGCGATAATCCAGCCCATCATTTTTTTGTCTCCACCTCGACGCTGTTCATGTTTTTCACTTACCCTCCTGTTGTTTTCTTCCCTCTTACCCCCCCCCCGCCCCCCTCCTCTTTTCTCCTGCTTTCTTTGCAACTACTCTATTCACATCTAACTCGCCATCATATAGGTCGGGGACGGAGACGTGGTACGGACACAAAAACGCGCGGGAGACTGCCCCGTGATGGTGGGGTCGAGGAGGTGCCATTTGCGGGGGCACGGGCCGGCCAGGCTGGCCAGGGGAAGGGAGGAGGCCGGGGAGATGGGGGGCTATTTTATCGTACGCGGGATCGAGAGAGTCATCCGCCTGCTCCAGGTGAAGCGTGTGTGTGTTAATTTTATAGCATCGACGGCACCGTCCGGCTGCCCAATGATAAATGTCAGTCTCAGTGCGGTTGAAAACACGCAAAGGCTTATCAAGGCCATGATCGGGGACCCCGTGAGGGGGCGTCAGGGCTGTGTTTGTTTCTGGCATCGAATTCGCTAACCGACTGCCCAATGACGAACGTCATGTGCCAGTGCGACTGAAAAAATAGCGCTTTTTGTACAGGCCATAATCGGGGACCCCGTGACGGAGTGTGGGCATTTCGTTTCTATTGGTGACTTCGTGTGAGATGTGACGGCCGTATACGTATCCCGGGAAAGGATGGCCGCACGCATAGCGATCCACGACTGGGGTAATCGGGTGGGTGCTGACGATCGAAAGATTATCGTAGATGTCGTAGATACTGCAGATGATGGCGGCAACGGACAGGTGCGTACACACAACGAGTGCATCCATTCACACACACAAAGGTGACTTTTTTTACGACGCTGGACGCGTGGCACACGCTAAACGATTCCAACAACAGTTTCGATATGGCTTACGGGTGAACCAACCACCACAGGTGCCAAAGCGCAACTACGCGCATGCCATTTCCCGCGGGACGTTCAAGGACCGCGGGCAAGGGTACAGCGAGAAGGGCGTCATGATGCGCTGCGCCCGCAAGGACCAGTCGACGCTGACCGTCACGCTGCACTACATATCGACCGGGGGTGCCACCCTGAGGTTCTCAGTGCGGAAACAGGCGAGATATGTACATATTCGAGGCTTGTGTGTGTTCTGATGCGGCAGCGGGTGGTATGCCTTGTGCGAAACAACGTTGAAAGTACCAAAAATGTTGGGAGATGCAAGGACCATGTGGACACAATTGTGAACACCCCAATGGTTCTCTTATTTTCAGGCAAGGGATCGGAGACTATTGTATGTATGTTCCGCTGCGGCGTCTGGTTGTATGGATG